ACTTTGAAAGTACATATTAAAATGAAGAGCTGTATTTACCAAATGGTCGCATAATGACCAACCAAATGAGTATGAATCAAGTTTTTGTTGAAATTCACACAGAGCAGTTCATTGCGAATGAGAATGCCTATTACTCAAGAGCTACGAGCAATTTCAAAACCTTGTCTCCACGACAATAAAGACTCGAAAAGTCCCATACGATGGACACCGGTTTCTGCGAGACTTATTTGCATTTCATGTCCTACACCCATCGGCCCAAACTTCTTTTCCCGCCAAGTAAAGTGCTACCAATCAAACTGACCGCATGGCCGTCAACCTCCCCAAACATGTACAGCCCATGTTCCGTCAGTTTTCAGCAAAATGGCTCCAATGATTGATTGCTTACACTTTCAAGGGGCCAGCTTAGCGTCCCCGCCCGACGTGTTGCCATGCCATCAGCGACCTAGCAGCCACGGGGCCGTTTAAAAGGGTTGTCGTGCCGGATTTTTGATCGACTTGCCCAATAAATCCCATGCTTGCCCGATCCGAGCCCGTGGCCGGAGAAGAGACAGGTGCACCTCCCTTCTCGCGTGTACAGGACTTCAAAAAAGGTGGGATGAGCCTGCGGCCCATTAGGTCGTATCCAGGCTTGCCCGCCTTGACAACTGACCGGATATTAACCTGCCGACAGTCAACTGTTGCAAGCAAAGCCTGTGGATTGAGTGATCTTTTTGTACGTGGTATCTCGACCTCCGGCTTCTGGGTCACTTGGTCGCGCGGTGACCGACCCGGCCGGCGGTAATCTGATGGTTGCCAAGACGTGGACCCTGATCCGACAGAGTGGTGCTGGTGACTGTATCCGCCGGAAACCGGTTGAGCGCTCGAGCTCGCACCCTTCGGCGGCGGAAGAAAGGACAAAGCGCAGTTTTCGCAGGAGGCGCAAATGGAGGCGGCGCAACTTCTATTTAGACGAGTTTGTCAATAAAAATAACATGAAGGAGGAGGAGAAAAAGGAGGAGGAGAAGGAGGAGAAGGAGGAGG